GAGGGGACTCGTGATGCGCGATGACGCTTCGCCTTTTCGTGTGCTCTTTCGAGATTTACCATAGTCCGGGATGGCGCGTATTTCGAAACAGCCATGTGATGGCAAAGATTAAATGCCCTTGTGATTAAGTTCTGGGGCCGTAAGGTATGCTGGGCTGGGACGATTGGAGTCACCACGACTATGGCATCCCCGAAAGCAGCCGTAGGGTGTGCTCGCGGGGCATCCTAGGGGAGTCAGCCATACAGGGGCTCTTCGGGGCTGAGGGCCCCGATTCGGATCTCCTCGACTACGGCGTCTCCGAAAGCTTTCGGGGAGAGCATACCTCACGGCCCCTGGAGAAGCAGCGCCATCACGTGCCCCCCCCCCCCCCCAAACCCGAGTTTCACCTTTTCTTCTTTTGGTTCTTGTCGTGAATGACGAGTCTCAAGTCAGTGATTTGCGGGTGAGGTGGAATAATGACTTTTTTGTTGGCTCTTCCTTCAACGTGAACTAGCTCGTGATTCTTGGGCAGTCCGTCCACAATGGGTTTATCTTTTTCCTCTGCTTGCTGTGAATTGCAGCTAACGAGATTATTGCGTCAAATTTTCACATTTTAAGCCCACCCTGCAGCAAACTTCCTGTAATCACTTATACAGGAGGATTGATCTTGAGAGAGCCCTAACAGTCAAAGCGAGTATGGGATATGAATGCTTGATAGTTCTTGAGATGAGTATGAAGAGCATCATACAGCACTTGTTCCCCCTTTTTGTATCCTTTCTGAGCGCATCCCCCGCCGCAATGGTTTTACTTATTGAGGTGTTTTTCAGGTTCAAGTAGTGAAATATCTTTTGCGGATACTCGCGGCAACGATGCGGTAGACATCGATGATGTTCAGGTTTGTGAGCTTTTCTGTGGATACAAGACCGTAAGGTTGCTTTGCGATGATTGGTGCTTTGCATAGGTGGAGATTACTCAATCGAAAAGGTTTCTCTTCGTACGGAGCTTAGCACACAGAGCATCTACCTTAAAAAAGGGTCTCATCCAGTAAGTGAGTGCGACCATTCCTATGGCATAAAGTACTCCGGTTTTCTGCAACGGAAGGGACCTTCGGGTTGATGTAGGAGAGATAGCGGAATGGTTCACTTACCTACGGGATTTCTTCCCCTTACAAAATTTCAATTGGAATTGAAGTGAAGATGATCTCAACTGGAGATTGAAGAGCTCGTTCTGATCTATCAATGAACCTCAAGATAGCCTTCTTCGCCGAAGACTTCAGAAGATTTTGCTTCGGGATCACGGTGCTCGGTACGAGCTCAACGAGGTTGTCGACGGTTCATGTACCACTATGATCTTATCTGAAAAGCAGGTCAAAAGCGGTCTCACATAGTCAGAGATCCTCTCCCTGGAAAGGTATCCACCACTTACCTGATTGGAAAAAAATAGTGGAGCAGCTTCAGGCTGGAGCGATTGAGGTAGATCCCGTTGAGCTTGACGGCGGTAGCAGATGACGTCATATTCTGAAGAAAGTGAGGGCAGTGAGGGAGAGCCTGCTTCTGTTGATGGGAGGACATCTAAGGTATATTATTCCATAGAATATCCATCAACAGCAGCACTTTGTACGACGAAGAGTTCGTTGATATGCGTCATGGACAAAGCGACTCTTTTTTTACACCACAACCATGTACAGAGAGACATTGAAGACGCTTGCCCGAAGGCAATGAACACCACAGACTCAGATGCTTTTACTGCCAAAAGTCGTTTCAGTGCGTCAACCGACCACATGCAAAAAAATGTGGCTCAATACACTTTATTACATAAGAAGGTTCCTTTCTAGCACCCCTTTTTGTGTTGCCTACTAATATTTTTATTTGTTATGAGACTTTAACCAGTGTCTTTGATTGTTAGCCCTTTATTTTGGCCGCAATTCGTCATGCGAAAATTATCACAAGTCTGGATTACGAGCAAAGCTGGCGCGAGAGGTACGGGCTCAACTCGATTTCTCGGAAGAAGAATTTTGTCCATAGCTCAGAATTCTTGTGTAACCAATAAACTCAGTGGCACAGATCAATGTTACTAGGCCTTTAAATTAATAATCGGATAAAATCAATGAGTAAACCGTTTGTTAAGAATTTTGAGAATGCCACAAAGCATATGTATGGTAAAGCAGATTAAAGGTATCGTTAAAGTAATCATGGTTTTACACTTTGAGGGGCTTCTCCGATTTCCTGGTGGTGCAGCAGCTCCTATGCTAGTCAACTTATGTTAATAGCCCTTGTATAAGCCTCTTATTATATACTGAATATGAAACTGTGAAAAGAACAGGATCGAGTCCGACTACCAACAGCTCACCCAACTGATGCCTTTTGTAGGATCCTTCATCACGCAAAATCGAAGTCGTTGTTGAGAACCCACCAGGAATGATTCCGCTCAAGGTTCGCCGTACGTCCGGTAAGGAGCTAACTCCTTGAGCGCGTTTTTAAAAGTTTTCGCTTTTCTCCACTATCAGGTCGGCTAGTGCCTTCTTTCCTTACATAAACCATTCTACCCAGCTTCTGTCTATTCCTGAACTGGTCTTTATTGATGCCATTATAGTCCTGAACAAAGGTCTATGGCCGGTCGCATAATTGTTTTTTCGAGTAGAATTATATGTAGGAATATGAAATACATATAAGATAGAATACAAAAAGAAGCGAATAGTGATCAACTGAAAGCAGGAAGAAACATTTTCCCTTGCATATTCTCGGATTTTTTTTTACAAATCGCTCCCAAATACATTTTTTGTCATACTGCAAATTTCCAAACGTTGACATTAAAGCATTTCTGAAGTCTTTTAATTCTTTTTACAGATGCACTCACCAATGTGAACGAAGAACACGTCCACAAGGAACCGACTGTAAGAAGAGTGAAACGTAAAACTGGTGGAAAAAAGGCCTTGAAAAACAAGAAGACAAAACTGAAC